TGCACTTGCCATCTTTTTGAGTTTAAAGGGATGATTTGTAGACATTGCATTGTTGTCTTCATTCGAAATGGTGTTAGGTTTTTGCCTGAGAAGTATATCCTAGAGCGATGGAGGCGTGATGTGAAGCGGGCATACACACGGGTCAAAGTAGATTATGATGGCTGGATATGTACTGTCGAACAACAACGGTATGATGACTTGTGCAACAGTTTTCGGGCTTTGGCGAATAAAGTCGTAGACGATGAATACCGCACAAAGGAGATAATGGATTGGATTCAGAAGGAGATGTCTGTAGAAGCAATGAGAAGCAAAAATCCATCCACGGGAGTTCAAGAAATTCCCGAACATACAACAAGCACTCCACTTGTGTTAGACCCATTAATCGGCACACGCAAGGGAGCTCCAAGAAAGAGTCGTCTCAAGTCCAACAGGGAAAAGTGTGGTCAAAAGAAAACAAGAAAAAGGACTACAGAGAAAGACCCAAAACCTAAAGAAGGTAGAAAAAAAGATAACCTACCTAAGAAGAGGAAGAAAATGGATGCGTCTGAGATCTTGGCATCACAAAGGCAGCATGCTTGGCCCGTGGAAGATGAAGATGGTGTTTACGACCTCACATTGGGAGGTCTGGATCTTGGCCTCTCACTACAGTGACTTTAAACAGCTTTTTTTTTTTTGCATCAGATCTAGGTACCCAAGCTCTGATTTTTTGGAATGAGCATGGGAACTGTAAATCACATACTTTTTTGCTTTTTGTTTTTTGTGTAAAGTATGTAACAAGTATGATAACTTTCTCTGAGTTCCCTGCACATAAACTGATGTAACTCTGTATTCACATACATTAAGTCTCTGTGGAGTGTATGACATAGACAGTTATTCCATGTGAGCACCAAGAAATCTTATGTATCCGTTTTAACTTTGTTTTTAGCTATACAAGACCCCCACATATGTGATGAGAATCTGAAGATGGTGTATGTGCATAACGTTAAGTAACTCTGTTAGCACATACATTAAAGCTCTGTGTAATGTGTAAAAATAGACAGTTAATCTCTGGGAGGGATCTGAAAGTAAATCTGTAATTCAGGCATACACTAAGGTAAATCATTCATCACATGAGTTTTGGCCCATTACAAAGATGTCAACAAAAAAACTGAAGTGCATAACAATATGGAACTCTGTCACATACGTTGAAGCTCTGTGTAACAGTTAAAATAGACAGTTATTCTCTGTGAAGGATCTGAAAGTAAATCTGTAATTCAGTAATGAGTTAAGGTAATTCATTCATAACACACAGTAACAGATTGTTCATTAACAAGTGTTTCCCCAAAAAATACATTACAAAGAGTTTCACAAACATATGTGAGATCCCTACAATTGTAAATTAAAAAAGCTAAATATTGGTAGTTTTCCTTCCACGCCATAACCTAGCTGCAAATTGACATCGGAAATCAGGCATGTGTTCAGAACTGCAGTCTGGACTTAATGGTAAGCCAACCAACAAATACTCTAGATATGCAAGGACCATCACTCCACAATTGCCATACCTGTAAGGGGAAATAGTATTAAAATAAATAGGTTGGCTGAGATGATTTTCACCCGTCCATGGGAGTAGCATAACGAAGTAATGGCGAACAAACCTAGAGTCTTGTTGCGGAATACCATTGACAACAAATGTTTCCCATTCCTTCTCCAAAGTGTTTGCACCCACACCCTTAACCGTGCGAAGTAGGGGGGGTATTCTTCTTACTACTTCTTTAACGTAGAATGAGGATTTCGGCCCTTTCAAGGAGTCGTAAACTCGAACTTGATTTCGTAAGAGATCTATTTCAGCTAGAAGCTAATGCCTCCCATCTCCATTAACGGGCAAAAAAATCTACACATCAATGTTGAAAAAAATTTACAATACACACAGACAGTTTCTATATGTGAAGAGAGATTCACATGTGTTTAAGTTCAGGGAAATTCATAAGAAGCATAGTACCTTTTCAACGCCAGACCAATCAAACTTTCTTAAGAACTTATCATTAGACCACACACATTCATCGGCACTCATACGTAGTAAGTGGTTCTAAACAAGAAAAAACATAAGAATTTTGAACATCTCCTTATCTTTAGCACAATCAAAAATTTAGAACCAGATTTGGCCTTACCACAAACACTGGTCCAACAGCAGTGTAGTTCTTGCGCTCTATCCCATTGAGAACTTCCAGCATATTGTCCATAATAGCCTCCAGGTGCTTAACATATAACAGAAAGAAGTTATTTAATGTCATGATACAGAAATTAATTTAACCACTAAAGCTTACTTACATCATTGCTTAGCCATTTTTCCTGATCTATAAGATCACGGAAGAAGTCTCGATTGACGTGACCAACACCTTTGGAGTGTAGTTCAATTGTCGTGGGAGAGACATTGTCTGCTTCATGTATCCAACTCTCAAGACTGTTCCAATCTTCAATTGTTATTTCAATTGTGAACGGATTTACATTTGGTCGCGCAATCTTACGCGGTCGGGGGTCTGTAAAAGGGCTGCAGTAGTACTTTGATTTTTGTCTCTTTCTCTTCTGCAACGGTTCGTTGATCACAGGTTTTCCCTTACCCAACAGCTTTTCCTACGTAAATAATGCATTAAATTGTCTCTAGCAAAAGAAAAAAAATTTAAGTAAAAATAACCTACTTAAGGAATTTTACCTTGTTGAGAGTCAATTCCATGAGAAGCTTGTCTTCATCTAAATCGTCATCCTCCTTGTCATCCACTTCAACCATATGTGAATCCTCTTCAAACATGTTGTCTTGGGGTTCCTGCACCATACAGACACACACGCATGTGAAAAAAAGATGCACATCATTGGTAGAAGTTATCAATGTAATGCACAAACTGTAAATTACATGTTCAGCAGTCCCCTCCATTTCGGCACGATCCTCGTCCTTGTGAGACTTCTCAAGAGGACTGTGCTCATCCTCATTTTGCTCAGTATCCTCATTTTCCCCAAGCGCATTCTCCTCTTCATTTTCCCCCGTCTCCTCAGTGTCGTCCTCAATTTCCATACTCTCCTCCTTATTTTCCCGAGGCTCATCTGCATCTTCATCAGAACCAGTCTCTTCCTCATTTTTCTCAGCACCCTCCTCGATTTCATCATCTTCTTCTGAATCCTCATCATCTTCCGCAGCAGCCGCCTTTGTCCTTGCTCTCTTCTGTCTCTGAATTCTAACAGATCTTCTCCTTCGGCCACTTGAATTCAGCTTCATAACAACCTCCACCAACAACTGCTTGATGGCATCAACCTTCACTTCAACTCCATCAATCCTTTTCCTCAAATCTCTAATGGCTCGAAGGGTATCGGCATCAGAATTCTGTGTACAAACAAGAACATAAACCATACATATTCCCAGACAGTGACTGTAGATATTATAGTAATTCACAGAGGTTAAAAGTCAGTGAATATATTACCTTCTTTTGTTGCAAATCACGAAAGAAAATGTCCTTAAGTGTCACTACTTTTGGAAACTTCTTTGATGCCCAATTAATAATTTCACAAGAAGAAGTCCCCTCTTTTAGAGCAAGGTTTTTTTCAACCAACTCCGGAAAACACTCATAAGCCCACACCTTAGACAAAAGTAAATATAAAAATAATGAATATTCCAAGTAAGTTTTATAATGTATGTGGTGTTCATATACTAACCTGAATAGGCAATGGAAAACCATAGAAGGTGTATTTCAAGGATTTGTAGTTTGAGGTTTCCTTGCTCTTATTTTCAAATTTTTCGGGCTGACCATCCATTGCACTTTTCATATGTCGTATAGTAAGTAAGTACGACTCCCAAGCCCATGGATAAGATTTGAACTTTTTGGGCTCTTCGACAAGATGCAAATGGGTTGATTCGATGCATGTAGATCTATCCTTTGCTAAAAGGACAGACTCAATGAAGTAGAGCATGGAAAAGTCAACCATTTTCTCCGAATCCATGTTATTCTCCGCTGCAACATACTTCTCTCGGACATGCTTGAAGGTGCACTTCGTGACCTCCCCTCCTAAGAATGTGTGACACAGTGAGCTCTGTCCAAGCTCTTTGTCGTTAAGAGCTGGGTACCTCTTTGTGTTCGGCAACCCTGTAATTCTGCACCAGTCGTTGAAAGTGAATTTGACAATTTCACCATTTCGAAGGATCCAGAATTCATCGTCAGGTTGATCCTCAACAAGCAACAAAAGCATTTGGTGAATGATCTGGCCAGAAAATTGGAGGTTCTTAATCCCCATGAAGTGGCCAATTGGAGTCTTGCGAAATTGTTGCAATTGGCCCGGACTCAATTTCTTCTCAATGTTTTTTATGGCTTCACGGATGTCAGAACAAACTGAGTACTGAGCTCCAAAATGAGCACTTACAGGGATTAACAAAGACATTGTCTGAAATGAAGTTCAATTAACACAAGTTAACTATCTACACAGACAATAATCGTATATGAAGTTCAATAAACAGAAGTTAATCGTCTATGGCATATCATTCAAAGCAAGCTAGCAAAAAAAACAAGTAGACCTGTTTCACATACAATAATGTTATATGAAGTTCAAATAACAGAACTTAACCATCCGTGCCATATAATTAACAAAGGCAATTTTACAATCAACCAAATTTAATAGACAATAATCTTATATCAAGTTCAAATAATAGAAGTTAATCAATGAAACTACATTATGGAAATTTGAAATTACACAAACATACTATTATCAAATCCACAACTACATTAACACACAGTTTAAATACACCAATAAAATTGAAATAATCGGCAAAGACCAAGGAGAGGGAAATTAAGTTGAGTACCTGTTTGGGCTTAACAGGACTGCCGGCAAGGGAGGTGGAGGGGTGGGGCTGCCGGCGCTGGAGGTGGACGGGTAGGGCTGCCGCTGCTGGAGGTGGAGGTTTTGGCCTGTAATTCGAGGGTTGGGCTGCCGGCGCTGGAAATCGAGGGTTGGGCTGCCGGGGAGGGAGGTGAAGGGGTGGGGACACGACGCTTGAGGTGGTGGGGTCGGTGCGTTGCAGGTGGAGGGCTGGGGGTGCGCTGGAAGTCGAAGGTTGGGCTTCCGGCGAGGGAGGTGGAGGGGTAGGGATGCGCTGGAGATGGAGGGTCGCTGGAGGTGGAGGATTGGGGATTTTGCCGGCAAGACAAATTTGGGAAAGAAGAAGCGGGAGAAGGGTTGGAGAGAGAAGCGGGAGAAGGGTTGGAGAGAGATTAGATTTGAAAAAAGAAAAATAAAAAAAATTATATTTGGTAGCATGCTTGGAGGCACACGTGGTGCCTCTTTAGCATTTTCCTTAAAATGGGCTGATTTTTGCCCAAAATTTATTTTTCTCATCATCGCCCCGCCTCAAACGAAAAGCAGAGGCTCTATCTCCTCCAAATTGAGAACTTGCGCGTGCAAGTGAAAATTGCCGAACAGGGAAGGGCTGTCCTCTGATATCCTTCGCCCTCCGAGATGCAGTTTGACCTAAGTGAATTATCTTGAGAAAGTTGTTGTTCGGTTCGCCCATGTTTTCAAATCTTTGTAGTAGAACTTCGCGAGCTTACGGCATTTGAGCAGGTAGCACTTGGAGCTTATTCAAAAGTATTGATTTGCCAAACCGAAAATTTTGAACTTCAATTCCAGTCATTTAATGAAGAAACAACGGATATGGAAGCAGTGTTGCCAATGATTTCTTAAATTGGTTCCCTCCCGTGATGAGACGCCAGAACTTTCATAATCTCGCCTTTCCCTCTTCTGATTTCTATGCCTCGCTCCTCCAAAAGAGCCTGAAAATCAAAGACCCGCTTGCCACCAGATCGATCCATGCCCAGATAATCAAGTCTGGCCTGCATTTAGGCCAGTTCCTTGTGAATAATCTCATCAATGCATATGGGAAAAATGGGTTTGTTTCTGATGCACGCAGACTGTTCGATGAGTTGCCAACAAGGGATGCATCTTCTTGGAATACATTGCTATCTGCTTATGTGAAGCAGGGTCTGATCCAGGAAGCACGTCACATTTTTAGTGAGGTGCCTCGCCCTGATGATGTCACTTGGACAACTATGATTGTTGGGTATAATTTAAAAGGCCAGTTTGAGGTTGCAATTAAAACGTTTATGGAGATGGTTGCCTGCAACGTGCTGCCTACGCAGTATACGGTTACAAGCATTCTTGCTTCTTGTGCTGCTATCAGATCATTGAAAATAGGCAGGAAAGTTCATTCTTTTCTTGTAAAATTTGGTCTGAGTAGACATGTATCTGTAGCCAATTCATTGTTGAATATGTATGCCAAAGCAGGTGATGTTAGTACAGCTGAAATTATTTTTGATAGAATTGCAATAAAGAACATATCTAGCCGGAATGCAATGATTTCGTTGTACATGCATACTGCCCAAGTTGATCTTGCAGTAGCGCTATTTGAACAAATGGATGATCGAGATATTGTTTCCTGGAATTCAATCATTGCCGGGTTCAATCAACATGGATTTCATATCGAAGCATTGGATATGTTCTATAGAATGCTTAGGGGATCATTGTTGAGGCCTGACCAATATACTCTAGCAAGTGTACTATCAGCTTGCACTAATCTTAGAATGATCAATATAGGGAAACAAATCCATAGCCATATTCTTAGAACGGAGTTCGATACTTCTGGGGCAGTTGCGAATGCTTTGATATCCATGTACTCACGATGTGGTGCAGTAAATATTGCCCAAAGCATTATGGAGCAAAGTCAAATATCCAACTTGAATGTCATTGCTTTTACAGCATTACTGGATGGTTACATTAAGCTTGGCAATATAGATCCCGCAAGGAAGATTTTCAACTCGCTTGAGGACCGGGATGTGATTTCTTGGACTGCTATGATAGTCGGCTATGTACAGAATGGCTTCTTCAATGATGCAATGGATCTGTTTAGATTAATGTCAGAAGCAGGCCCAAAGCCCAATAGCTATACACTAGCAGCTATGCTTAGTGTTTGCTCCAGCTTAGCATCTTTGAACCATGGCAAACAAATACATGCTGCATCCCTAAAATTGGGGGAAGCATCATCGGTGTCTGTTAGTAATGCTTTGATCACCATGTATGCAAAGGCTGGAAGCTTAAGTTGTGCGCAAGTTGTGTTTAATTTTATACATGAGAAGAGAGAAACTGTATCCTGGACTTCAATGATCCTAGCATTGGCTCAACATGGATATGGAGAGGAATCCATACAGTTATTTGATGATATGCTGGCAATGGGTATCAGACCTGATCATATTACTTATGTAGGTGTTCTCTCTGCCTGTATACATGTCGGCTTGGTGGCACAAGGTCGCCGGTACTTCAAGATGATGAAAGATGTGCATGGTATTGAGCCCACACCAAGCCACTATGCCTGCATGATTGACCTCTTTGGGCGTGCTGGTCTACTGCAAGAAGCACAGGATTTCATAGAGAAAATGCGGATTGAACCAGATGCTATAGCTTGGGGTTCACTTTTAGCTTCATGTAAGGTTCACAAGAATGTTGAGCTGGCAAAATTTTCTGCTGAGAGATTGCTTGAGATTGATCCTGAAAACAGTGGAGCCTACTCGGCACTTGCTAATGTATATGCTGCCTGCCAGAAGTGGGAGGAAGCTGCTAAAATCAGAAAATCAATGAAGGATAGGCAAGTGAAAAAAGAACAAGGAATTAGCTGGGTTCAGATAAAGAACGATGTCCATGTATTTGGGGTTGAAGATGGAATTCATCCCCAAAGAGATGCTATATATCAGCTAACGGAAAAAATATGGAAAGAGATTAAGAAACTTGGTTTCGTTCCAGACACAGAGTCAGTGCTGCATGATCTTGATAATGAGTTGAAAGAGCAGCTCCTTCGAAATCATAGTGAAAAGCTTGCTATTGCATTTGGGCTGCTGAATACCCCAGATAATACTACTCTAAGGATTATGAAGAACCTTAGAGTTTGTAACGATTGTCACTCTGCTATTAAATACATCTCCAAGCTTGTTGGCAGAGAAATTATTGTTAGAGACTCCACTCGTTTTCACCATTTTAAGGACGGGTTTTGCTCGTGTCGGGATTATTGGTAAGGATGGATGCATAAAATCTCACGGCTTTATGGGATTTTACTGGGTTGGTTGTTGTTGTTGTTGTTGCCACATAATTTTGTTTGCCTGTTTTGGCTTATTCTGCACCAACTGCTGTGAGATATGAGGAATTTCTTGACAGAACATATGAAACAGAACTAGTTCTTCATTATGGACTGCTAATTATTTCTCGACAGCCTCTTGTTCAGCAATGTTCTTTATTCCGGGCTGCCATGTTATAAAAGGTACATTATGGAATTGTTAATTAGTTGATTTTAGGCCAAACTATACCCTGTATATCCCACTCAAAAGTAGGGTGTACGAGATCAATTAGTGCTTTTAAACATTTTAATTTAAAAGGGGGGAAACATGTCTTGACAGATTTTTAAACCAAGCAGAGTTTGAATCCAAAGATGGAGACTGCAATACATAAAATGCCTATTTATGTACAGAAGGCAGTCCTTAAGTACAAATCTGACCTATTTAGTAAAACGATTTCAAGGCTCAAAAGCATTGTGCACTCTCACATGGAATAGATTTTGAATTAGCCTTTCAACCATGGCATTTTTTTCAGTGCTTTAGCAATAATAGATTAAAGATTGTATATTCATGTATTCTAGCAGCACACATGCATCCACATACATCTTTCTATCTTTCGTATAAAGTAGATACGATTCTTATGGTCTTTCATTCTCTGACCATGTTTGTCACTTGGGTGCAGCATTTACTGATGTAGCCATATGGGCATTTGTACTTCTTTTGGCTTTGACGGGCAAAGCACAGGCAAACTTGGGCCAATAAACATTCCATTCAAAAGAAATGGTCAAAACTTGAAGAGAATGGGATTGATTGACTCTAAGACCAGCAATTTCAAATGAGCTTGTATGCAAAGGCTACAACCTTCCAAAACACAATGGCTAGCAATGGGAAAATGCACCCATTCTTGAGTTCCAAATAACCAGGCCCTAAGATGATAAGTATTTGTAGGGGAGAATTGAAGAATTTAATGATAGAGTTCATAGCATTGATGAGAAATTTTGGTACGCACGAGAAAGTTTGTTGTTCAAATTGTGTAGGGTGTCAAATATCTGTCAAAATTTGAATGTGCGTTCTACCAAAAACCGACAGATATGAGCATCATCTTTGATTATTCATGTATGATGCCATTGAAACTTGAATTTGGTATTGAAATTTAAAGCTGAATAAAAATAATTCTAACTTGCTATTTAGGGTATGTTTGGTTCTCAAAAATGCTAAGGCATCCAAGGGTTGATATGATCTGTGTCTGAAATAATTGGTCAGACACCCTGAGAGTATTTCTCAGCAATATCTATAATAAAATTTTCACTTGTTTTCTTCTAATTATTTTTTTTCAGCAATATCTAAAATAAAATTTTCACTTGTTTTCTTTAAAATTTTCCTCAATGTGTTTCGGTTCATTTTTTTCCCATCTAGTGTTTTCCATGTTCCAAATGGACTCTTATTGTTAGTTGTTAGACTAATGAGTTGTAACCCTTCAAGGATGGACATGCATATGATTTGTTAGATCGTTAGACTTGGACAAGACCACACGGGCCGGTTTTGGTTCTAGAACCGACATTTCCGCTACCAAGTACCAATACCGGTGGTTGGCGACATTGGTTCTAGTTCTGGAACCGGTTGGTTCGGTTCCGAGCCAGGTTCAAGAACCTTTTTTTTTATTAAGTTGATAATTTGGTGCAAAAATGGTTTATAACTAAAATGTTTATCTAAATGTAATTGTTACTTATAAAATAGTGAGAATTCAAAAGTATATAAGTCACGGTTACATTTAACACCTTGAGGGTTCAAAAAAAGCAATGAAATAAGTCATAGTTATGTTTAATACCCTATAGACTTGGGTTCACCTTTTTTCTCACCGATTGGGATATTGTTCTTGAGAGGATCCACCACCCTCCTCCTTAGCCTCCTCGCCAATGGAATCCATGAGATTCATGTCGAGACTTGAGCCATGACTAGATCCCCAAATACTCGTTGAACTATTGATCATCCATAGCATCGATGAGCTGGTGGACATGGTGTTCAATTCACGTTTCTTTCCGCTTTTTTCACTTCAATGAGTATCCGCATACTTTCCATGAGACATGTTTATAAATAAAATTCGTGATATGATATAATATATGCAGTAATAAATACTGATATTATATTTTTCATATAAAAAGATTATACCACGCATTATATTACACCCTCTATCCCATTTTAAATTGTCTGTTTGTCTTTTTTCTCCGTCCCAAAATAAATTACTTGTTACTTGTTTTCGTAAACTTTTAAGAGTAAAATACCTAAACTACCCCTAAAATTAGTCACACTTCACCACTTTATCTTCTTATTCATCGTCAACCCTTCTAAAAAATAATGACAATTTCGAAAAATCAATTCTATTTTTTCTTTTCCTTAAATATGCCCAAAAGTCAAAACGGGCAATTTTGAAACGGGACGGAGGGAGTATTATGATATCAATAATATACAAAGTACTCCCTCCGTCCCAAATTAAATTACATGTCTACTATTCACAAGGTCAACATTCATTCACTTTCTTTCTCTATTTTTCTTAGTCATTTGATAAACTAAAATATGTATATCACTACTAGTTTCGTAGATCTTTTAATGTAGTATTTTAATATGTAATTTTTTTTTAGCTCTACACCATTTTTCATATAAAATGATTTAAAAAAAAGTTCAATCAAAAATCGTAAACTGAAACAGATAATATAAATTGGGACAGAGGGAGTATAATAGAGTATACTTATAGACTTATTATATGTGTGTGTGAATTTATATGGAAAAAATTACCCCTAACTGAC